CGACAATGGCTCGGCTATGCTTTCAGCCAATGCTGTTAATATACGTGGGTGGAGTTCATCAGGGCACTGGACTTACCAGGATTGAGCCTTAGAAGCCACTTTAGGACAGTATCCTTTCCAATGTATAAGGGTGCCATTTTCAAGTTACCTTCTGGTAAATTTACAAAGCTGGTATCATTTTATCAAATACTTGACTAAAGTGCCTGACAAAGTTGGTCAAGTTATCCTCAGCCATGTTTGTTGGTCATCTTCAAGCATAAGAGGTGGGATAGCATCACTCTTACGTGTTCTTTCTTGATATGAGAAGATCTTTTGGGCAGCCTGGTGAACTTTTAACTAACTGGGTTTCGTAAGCTATCCTTGACTGGTGGATCAAAGTTTACACTGGTTTCTGGTTTACAGTATTCAGCCGAACTGCTGTAGCCCAGTAGAAACAAAGAGATTCCAGAACCTTTTTCTCCGTCTCAGGAGTGTTAAAAGATGGCAACCAGTAAGATTGTATAAATGAATTCAAGAAGAGTTGGAAAAAATGAATCATAGTTGTTAGCAAACCTGTAAGTATACTTAGATTGGCTACAAGAATATTCTAAAGTCAGGAACAAAATTTAATATTTTCCAAGTATAGGTTGTCTAAATTAGCAATTTATTCAGTTAGCCGAATTTACTTCAGAGTGATATAGTCATTGCTTTGGCTTCTAAATAGACTGTAGGGCTTCAGCAAAACATTAGAATTATACGATTTTCCCTGTATTCTTTTTACTTGGCTACATGGTTGCCGATTAAACTTCATTTCCCTTTCAAATAATCTCCTCAATGTCACTCTGAGACACCTGATTCACCGTTTCCTGTTTCGGTTCCGATTGAGAAGGCATGATACCACTCAAGTGTCTTTTCAGCTTGTGTCCACTTCATATCATTGTCTTTCTGTAGATTTGTTTTCCGATAGGTTCTTGACTCCTTCTTCAGCAAAGGACGAAGTGAACGGTTGTTAATTTAAGCCTGTGGTATAACGAGATCATTCATTATTCTATACTTTATTCTTGCAGATACCCTTTAGGTCGAATCCAGGTCACAAGATCTATCTAAATAAAATTATACTTCACTCTACTGTTCAATATTTCTGTAAAGGTCAGATAAATGTTGTGTGTAGTGTGACACGCGAGTTCTAACAAACAGATACTTACGTACAAAGCTGCATATTTAGTGTGGCTTACAAATGAAATGTGTATCCATGGTAATCTGCTTTAACCAAGTTCCTGAATCCGCTGGATTAGTAGTAAGTAACCAAATATTTTAAAAGCGATTTTGACAGAAGCTCGTTTTACAGCTCACGTGGTATCATTCAGTCCCTTTCTAGCGTTATTAAATCTATTAACTTGAGATATAAGTCTTATCTTTATGAAATGTGATATATGTTTCTTGTTTGAAGTTTGCCACCATACTGTAATTAAGTCGGTTAGGTGGTGACTTAAACTCTTCACTGGAACGAATGCGTTTTAATAATATCTGTTTTCTTCTGAATAATTTTTGTCATCTATACGCATGCTGACACTTTCAGCTGGTGGTTGGTGACTAGGAGGGAACCTAGAATGAGCATTTTATCCTATTCAGGACGAATAAATGATTACGTTTCCCTCAAAGGCTCGTACCCAATACCCGTTTGATTCAAACGCCAAGGTGTTTTCCCTTAGACCACTTAGGCCAAGAGAGCCACCTCCTATGCAACGGGTCTGACTAATTATTTAATTCAATTTACGTTTAACCATCGAGTCCCAAGCAGGATGAAATGCGCATCCTGGATTCAACATGACCAGATATCGTATAAGCACCTGGACAAAGAGTTGATGTGTCAACTTGAGACCGAGCATTTCGTCCGATCAATCGGCTAGAAAATCTTAACTGGTTTAAATACTGCCTATAATCCTTGTAAACTGTAGCATTAACTCTAAGTATTAAAGTACTTACGGTTAGCACTTTTGGCTTTCACCCATACAACCAATGTCCTTTAGGTTTGTCAGTAGTTTATCAATAGAACAGTGGCCAAACAAGTATGTAGTCCGGAGTTCAGTTCTTGGCCAATGCACTCCAAATCCTCACCCCCAGCTTTCAGTAAGCTAAAAATAAGAAGGAAGCCTCAACATGAAGGTGTCAGATACCACTAACTAATTTAGTTCCTACCCTATGTACTCTTTCCAGGATATGTGCCTTCTTTTTGAAGCATGAACTCGCCGCTTGTATGCAGTATTCTAGATGAGGCCTGATATATGTTGCGTAGAGTATTTTAGAACATACCCTTGCCTAATCGTTTGAAAGCCTCTCAAAGTGTCCACAGCATTCGAAAAGCATTCGCTGCGGCCACATTGCAATTTACAGTTATTTTCAAATCATTGCTGATAGTTATTCCACATCCTTCTGTCCGTTAACATCAGGTAGTTCTGTGTCCTCTAGGGAGTACGACGTGTAAGCCTTCTGATTTAAGTGCATTACTGCGCTTTTCCTAGAATTCATTTCCAAACTTTACAGGTTCGAGCACTCATCTAATGTATCTATCAGTTTGTAGAGCAGACCTATCCCTCGTTATTATTTACAGTTTTCCAGATTTTAATGTCGTCCACAAATAACAATGAAGATAAAGTAAGAATCCCTGGTAGTTTATTAAGGTATAATAGAAACAGCGCTCCATTTAAGCAACAGTATAGCTGATGAAACTTTCAAAACCCCTAAACCTTCAGCCCTATGTTCCACTCGGAACACAAGAATTGAAAAACAACTAGACTGCTGTCCTCTAATTAACTAGGCAACAACTGGTACATAAGTGGTATAGTTTCATACATTTGCTTTTTTCCACAAATTTCATAGGTTCAGTGGGTTTTTTTTATTCTGCAGACTGTCGAATTCGGCTGCAGTACAAAAGCTACATCACTCCCACATCACTACATCATCAAGAACCGATTGTGCAACAAATAGGCAGAAAGAAATGCGGATGGATTTGCAGTACTCTGAGGAAACCATAAAGTGACATCACTAGACAGGCCATCGCTCGAGTAGAACCCGAAAGGGAAGCGGCGAGTTGGTCGTCAATGCGAGGGTGACTTGGAGGAGGTCATGTGAAGAGGAGATGAAAGCATGTGGGCAGACTTGGAGCGAGGTGAAAAAGTTTGCAGAAAACAGAAGGCAATGGAGATGCGCAGCTGAATCCCTATGTTTCTCTAGTAATTAAATGAGATAATAATATAATAATAATAATAAAGCGTAAAAATTGCGTTAACTGTGATTATTCACTCCTTGAATTCTGAGTGAGACATACAACCTCAGAAGTCTATTTATACTGCATTTGGTTCTCTGCAACAACTTTTTATTTTGTCTACAACTACTTACAAGCTTACATTTTTTCCTCAGATGATCTTTTTGATCTCATCTTCAAAGATTAACCCGTAGCTTCCAATTTGTGTTCTACGGAAGGCTTGAATGACATGTGGCGTCAACTGAACATCATCTTTATCAAATTATTTTGTATTAAATTTTGGTTTAGGCTTCAGTGTTCCCTTGATGATGCGATGAAAATACTACGATAATTAAATTTATCAACAATTGAATAAAGTAATAACATAAAGTTGATGTTATTAATTAAAATCTTAAGTTCGTTTGTTTTGATGGGGACTAGCATGGAAACCTAGGCTGAAAGCTAACTAGCATTTGACTATGTTCATCCGAAATGACCGGTCTCAACAGTGAATTCAGATATGTCCAGCTGACTAATCCTTATATAGGACGAATTGAGTATCCTAGATCCCATCATCAGTCGAAAACGAAGTCACATCAATCGTTAGATGTGGCTGACACCGAGGTTTGATCATCCACTGACACACACTCCTAAGCCTCGTACAGCTGGTTGTATGATAGGGAAAAAGTGGAAGGTTGGACATGAGGCCAGCCATAACACTCCCTCCACAAAAAAAGAATAACACTACCACCACTACCAAACCTTCAATATTCAATTGTTGAAGACCTTTTTCCCAGTCGAGACACAAGAGCGATGAAATAATGTAAATGGAAAACAAAAAGGAACCAAATTCAGCAACTTGAGACGCCGAAAAAAGCATTTACAGCACGCTGCTGCAGACTTTCCTCAACAGCTAGCTTCGCTCTACTGTGAACACCAGACTACCATCCGGAAAGGTTAAACAGCAAGGAAGTCTGGGAATAAACCAGGCAAGAAACTCCTGACCAAAAAAATATCTAAAGGAAAATAGAGATGGCTACAACAAGCGCTGAAGAGACCGCTGATTGACATCGCACATCTGACAAATCTTTGAATAGGAAACAACGACTTCAGCGTCCACTGTTGACTGACATACAGGAGATCATGTGAGAAGATGAGGGACTACGGACAATCCTAATGGTTAACAAAGCAGACTGCAATGAAATGAAGGTGTTCTACTGAATCTCTGTTTCCCACTGAGAAATCAAAAGAAAAAGAAGAAGAATATACTTTGTAATCTTGTTACTGATTACTAATTTAACCCTTGACTGTAAAATAATTCCAGAACTTTCTCAACCATTTACTATATGCGCATGAATGTACAAACTAGTTAATGACTTTGTCGAAAAACAATTTTTCTTCTCCGCAACTGTCTTTTGTTTTCCCTTTATCTGTTTTCCTTAATCTAAAGTGTTGTTTATCATGAAAAAAAGTTTGTCGGATTTTATTTTCCATCACTAAAAATATATCACTATATATCACACCCACTTTTTGAGGTCAAAAACAAAATGTGATAGTGTTACAGACAGACTGATTTGTATTCTTTTTTTCAAGGTCAGATATATTCATATCACATTTAAACAAAAACACAACATTGAACTAATGAATTCAATCTATCCAATCAAATTTATAAAAAAAGAGTATTAACCTCTCAGAAAATATAAACCTTAGATGTGTTAACCAATCAAACTGCCTGGCATACTGAAATGAATGATATTTTCGCTAAACAAAATACATTGAAAATTGTGCACACTCGCAGTGACATGATCATCCTATCATCAAAATGGTATAAGTTTGCCTGCTGATGGGTGTATTTTTTTTTTAAATTACTGCCGATAGTGTTTACCAGCAACGCTGTCAACAGTAGGACACTGTAGCACAACAGTTCACAGTGTCAGCCTGCTCCATCCACACATATATATTTGTTTTAAACAAGCGACAAATCTCAAGACTTCACAATATTATCTATTACACAATTTTTGAATGTCATGGGAACCCTTGTTGGACTGAGATATGGTCTAGGACGTAATTATACAGGATCATTAATGGAATTGAATAATTGTGGATATACAACAGGCAGTTGTGATGAAGAAAAATTTCAAGATCTCATAATGACGAGTAACAATAATAGTAATGATAATAATAATAATAATTCAACAGAGCCAAAACAACCTTGGAATAATCCTAATGATAATAATAATAATAAACTTGATAACTTATCAATGGCACTATGGATATCAAAGCATAGTCGTACATTTGGTGCGTACGAAGCACATTTAGAAACTTCATCACTATTGAATAGTTTTGCGTTAGATATGCACGATTTTTCAAATTGTCATTTGTTCACAGAAAAACCATCCTCCTCATCAACATCTGCATCGAATTCATCAAATGCTAAAAATCTGCTAGGCTTAACTCAGTTGATTGGATTAAGTCGTCTTATGAATTTTATCATGTATAAATCACGTCAATCGAATAATGCATCATCATCGTCATCAAATAGTAATGATAACAATAATAGTAATAATAATAATAATAATAGTAATCCTCTCGAAGATGCTCATCGTCAATATCATGGCTCAACATTTACCGATTATATATTTGCTAGAGCTCAAATGGAACAAAAAGCAAGAAGACGTAGTTATTACTATCCTATTTTACAAACATTATCCCATTCTAGTTCACTGAATACAAGTTTAACATGTATAAATGAGTTAAAGCATACCGGTGTAGTTGATACAGAAAGTTTTTTAGAGAATTTTTTGCATAAACAACGTAAACGTCGTCATTATAACAGTGAAAGTGGTTTACTACTCCCTGAAACAGATAACTTGTCAACCCTCCAAAACGATAGCCAAGAAGGTGGAGATCCACAGTGTGAAAACAATGAGGAAAATAATCCTGATTATGATGAGAATACTGTTAATCTCTGTGATGATGTTATATCATCAATAGATTCAAAGGAGACAGAGACGTCAACGCTATCTTCAGAGGTTAATATGAATGCAACTGAAAGCGAAAACGACTCTACCAGTGAATCGATGGCTGAAAATTCTAAATCAGACGAAAACGTCTCCACTTCTTCTCCGTCGTCTCCCTCTTCTTTGTGCACATCTGTTGATAATGACATGGATAATGAATCGAAAGTGAATATAAATAAAACGGATCCTCAATGCGCACACGAAACTGTTAACAATACGACAACTACGACGAATCCAATTCCTAATGATCAGTCGAATGTGATTACAGCATCGAATATTATGAAATCAAATGATGCAATAGACGATCAAGATGGCAGTTGTGATCAAGCGGAAGAAACAACTATTATCAATACGTCATTATCAAAAGAAAATTTAAAATTGCATAAGTCAGTATCATTTGCTGATGAAGTTGGTAAATCGTTGACTGAAATCTTTATTCTCTATGATGATGACGATGAAGAAAACGAGCATTCACATGGTAAGTGAAAGTGAATTGTGTACACACCCCTTTTTATTTTTGCTTGTTTTCTATCATTTCATTGGAAATTTATGATTATGCGATAAGTGAGGAATGATGTGCGAATTGTTTCAAGCTCCATCTTGGTCTGTGAATCGTTAACACCACCAAATCCCTCACAAACTAACTAACTTTGGTACACTAGAGATGACATGTACTTTCTAGAATTCTGATGAGAAATTTTAAACTGTGGTAGGGTGATATGAGATGTGCAAGAGAATAATTACTCACAGACAGTATTCAATGAGTGTTTTTAAAGTGACATTATATATCATCAGGTTTTTTAATCCACCGAGTGAATAATGTGCGTCAGCGGTACAGCGGTTAGGACGCTCGCCGACCATGCACATGGTCCAAGGTTCGATCTCCGACCACAGACTCTCTTCATTACCTCACTAAGCCAGAAATAGTGCTGGTAAAGAGGGAAGGTTGGGCATGAGGCTAGCGACCCTATCCTGTAAAAATAATCACCACTGCTACAGAAAATTCAAGCCACTGGCTTGATGCCCTATGTTCCACTGGGAACGTGAAGGAAAAAAAAGTTTGGGTGATACCGTGCTTGCTTAAATCCATAATGGTGCCAATCTAACTCCTGTGCAGTCCTTAAGTAAGAAAAAAGAGGTCACAAATTTATTGTAATTCAACTTTTAGCAGTTCTTGATATTCGGGGAAAAAATTTACAAATTCAGGTGAGTTAGCAGAGATCTGTACACTTGCAAACGAAACTGTCAGAACCCGGTTCATGGATCAATATCCGTAATTATTTTATTACACCGAAACATACATAAAACTCATAATAGTGATCCCACCATTATTTGAAGGCGGTCAGTCGTAAGCCTAAATAGTTCACTGGAAATATCTGAGACTGCAACATTGAGTGATGGAGGCGGTGGACAGCATCTACTAGAGGATCGTTGATAAGCCTTGCTGACAACGGGTATCAACAAGCTGGAAACATAGTTGCAAATCTTTCTGACTTCAATAAGAATAATGGTATCAACGGTAGAAAATGACACAGACAATCCTTCTGAGGATTTGTCTGCTTCTTGATTTAAGTATTGACATTTTGACTGACAAATGTTGAAATTGACCCTACTAATAAACACAAATCGTATTCGTTTCCTTATGCATCTCATATTTTTCATTCATCTCATGTCTTAACTTGTCTTGCTTTTCCCTCCTAATTTTCTTAAGTAGTATTTTGTAGTCCTTTATCATCATTTTAAAAACACCTTGTAAACAGCTTGACTTTAATGAAATATAACTTCTGAAGAGTGTAGACTTGATAAATAAATCTCAGTCTCGTTGGATTAGATAGTGGACATCTAATTACGCGGTCATAGGCTCGAACCCTCCTATATCTGCAAGGTTTGCACAGTCTGGCGGTTTCATTAGCCTTCACACCAGGTGTCGAGGCTATTTCCAGCTGGATGAGAAATCATGGGTCATTGCATGACGTCTCAACGGTCTACAAGCTCGCCAAGTAACTAGAAGGTCCCAAACTGGAACAAAACAGCTGTCCAGTAGTCTTCGCAGGTTTTTCAATGGTTCTCTAACCAGTGTCAGCTCATGATGAAATCTTGTAACCAGTCAATCAAACCCCTACAAATCAATACTTGACAAGTACCTTTGTCACATATATTTATTATTTCCTTAGGGACTTTTTCTCATTGAAAACAAAGATAGCTGAAAATACAAAGTTGATTTCTTATACACAATGATAACTACTAAGGTTGAAGAAAAAAGAGATTTTTAGAGTACAAATTCATGTATCGTAATGCCCGTCAAATAATGACCAGTTCGAAAAACTCGCTAATTTGAATTCTAGCCTGAAGTGTAATTACTTGTCACAAATGTATACTTCAGAATCTGACAACCTGTTTTACAACGTATTATAATCCTAATTTCAAGTTGATGAAAACTCAATTATCAACATGATTTGAATAATCTGCCTCCAAACTATTAGCCCAGTGTCCCACCAGATAATCTAAAAGACCCATATGCTAATAAAAATCATTGCTTTACCACAACCTAAGGCATGATGCCAAGATTTCATGTGAGTACGTGATTAGTTACTTTCGGTGTAATTATACTACTGGCTGGTTTGCCAAGTCTACTCCTATCGTTCTAAATCCTGTTGGATCAGAAGAAAGAAAGTAGTTTTATATTGAATGATGCATGAGAATATCTGAGATTGTCGTACAAGGAATTCGGTGACCTATCGACTTCAACCGTCACCAATTCATTAAATCAGGAGTAATCCATCAAACTAAAAACTATTTTTAATGATCTCAACATCAAGTTTAAGTTGGTTTAAGTATTTTCTTTTCCTATAAGTCTGTTAATCAGGAGAACATTCAAAAGTTTACTGACAGAGAAATCAGTTAAAATATATTTATTTCCTGCATTCCTAGTACAATGGCGATTAAAATGAGACGATACCAGCATCCTAAGAGACAAATGTCAGATAGTCTACTGCAGGAAAACTTAGAGTAGTCTCAGTAGATGCCTAGAAACATCTGAAAACGAACCAATATCTCTAGTACTTTCAAAAACTTGAAACTGCATATCAACATCAGTATGTAGAGAAGCTATGATAGCTTAAACGAAAATATTCTCCATTTTTAACCGTTAATCTTTTAGTAAACTGATTACACACGTCTAAATCTTTGAATAATGATAATAACACTAATAATATACTTCCTTGATATCAGTGTAATTATCTGCCTACAGTCTGTAGTCACTGTAGAATCTACTAAAAGTTTACTATTAATAATTTGCTTTATTCCAAACAGTACTTGTGATACAGAATGCAATTCTCAGCATTCCACTACAGTATTGCATCCGGTTAGTACATTAACAATAAATAAAATTATACGTAGATTATGGGTAATCCGGTTAGTTTTGACAACAACATATCGGTAGCATGTCGGTAGCAAAGCCCAAATTGAACAGAGTGTTTGAAGGTGCTAGAAAAGTAGATGCTAGCATATTTACTGGCGTAAGCGGTAACAAAAAGGTCGAGATATACAGGGTGTGAAAGAACGAGGAAGAATGTTTTAAGTAGAGTTTGTAAGGAAGGAAGAAACAAAGCAGCACATAACAGAAAAAAGAAAGAGAGAAAGGGAAAAGAAAGAAAGAAAACGTCGTACCTATAAATGATATGAAATGGAAAGACGAGATCCAATTGCTCTACTGATTATTTAATAGGTTATACGTTTCACGCCTAATGCTTTCTTCATCGTACAGAACACGAGTCAAGTAGGATATGGTTGAGTTTTTGTACTTACTAGTGCGAGCATATAGTTTTCTATATAGGCTTCTGGTTTCGCCTGAGGAGTGAGATACGAGGGAAGAGTTGTGAATGAAGAAGGTGATGTGAGTTAGATAAAATGGATTTAGCCCATTTTACACATGAGTACAAGTGCCTGTCGACTAGAATATTAACAAGCTGCTGACAGCCTTTAACACCCCACGTAATAAGATATAGTCCTTCTTCAGTAACCATGGAAACATTAAGGGGGAAAAATAGAGAATAACAGGCAGAATGCAAGAGTTAACGAATCGTAAGAGTAAGGGTTGGGTTATTTCAGAAAGTCTTAACTTCTTCATTTAGAAGATAAGACGGAATATTTTCTTAGAAATTATCATCAAGATATGAGACGACCAGGAAAGATCAGCACATAGAATGATGCCAAGATATTTAGTTTCTCCGACTCGGTCTCTATTTCAGTGCCATCTATGCTGCACACCTCGTGAATGCTAGCCAGTTTGTTTAGGTCAGATTTATGCCCTGAAAGTGAAATTGACTGCTTGGCATTTGGAGGGATTTAAGGTAAGACAATTTTCCTTGGACCACTGGCTGATTTCTGATAAAAAGCAGTTTAGTTTGGAGCAGTCACTTTTTGGTACCTGACAGACAAAGATACAATCAGATCGTCAGCATATTGAACAGATTAACTCGAATCGGAAGAAAGTATTGCGAGTTCAGAAAGAAGTAATCTGTAAAGAACGTCGATAATTTTATAGATCTGTTAGGTCACAAACGTATTTCAAATACGATCAATGAATGTTCCACAGCATTTCTGACAACGTTAACTAAACATTCTGAACACTAAGCAAATATATATGTATGTAGAAGTATTGATTCACAGACGAAAGTGTAATCTAGGTCTTGAATTGTCTAAGTTCTCACTTTCGATACACTAAACCGTAAAGTTAGGTGAGAAGTGAAGTGTATCCAACGACATAAAACTACTGACAGATATCTCCCTGAGAATTGGAAATTTCACATAATTGATCATGGATTGATATCAGTTAGAGAACCATTGAAAACCAGCGAGTATTGCAAGACAGCTGCTGTTTCATCCTAGTCTGAGAGTTATCATCAGTACGCACACACTGGGATTCGAACCCAGTACCTTACGGTTACAAGGCAAGCTCGTATACTAATCCTTACAAACTAAACTATAGAAAATTAATCTGATGCTTGCTAGTGACTTACTACAGGTTGGAGTTTCCTGAGTTCTACTGAGAAGTCGTGACCAGTGAGGTCCATGCAGATGTCACGTGTGTGAATGGATGTCCCACCAACGACAATGGTTGGTGCCAGTTGCGCTAAACCACGAATAGATGAAAGTAAGAATTCATGGGCTGGCCATTGGATCGGGTCCCTGCGGCTGAATGGTATACGAGGTAGCTTGCCTTGTAACCTGGGTTCGAATCCTAGTGGGTGTGTACTTCCAATGATTCCCAAAGTAGGATGAAACAGTAGCTGTCCTGCAATACTCCCTGGTTTTCAATGGTTCTCTAACTGATATCAATCCATGATCAACTCGTAAAAGCATAACTAACCCTTACAAAACAAACTATAGAAAATTTCACATAGACAATGTACTCTGATTCAAGGCAGATTGGTATAAAAAGATAAATATCCACCTTCCAGTGGCTCAGCTATCTAT